TTTGTACGAATATCCACTTGGTTCGTGAATGATGATATTATATTTTCATGATATTCAGGCAAAGGGCTTCAGACTAGTCATAGAAGGCATGCACCCAAAGCTGGTTGACTTCGATTCAACCATATATCAGCCTTTATCTTGCCGAAGTATTTTTAGTAATGCGCTACCCCTAAAAAGGATGAAGTTGTCGATCTATCTATGTAACTGTTTGATTGATGAAGACTCTAGAGGCCATTCTGTTTTCTTTGAATTGAATGAGAAGTCCGAGAAGCTTGAAAATGCAAAATTTCACTTGCTTTTGTTGACATACAAATTTCCTATTAAGCAAAAGGTAACACTTTCTGCAAAGACAACTGATGTTTTTGTTTGTATCTAGCATGCCCCACGCTTTACAATCTTTTACGTTATCTCATTTTTTTCAGTTTCAAGGAGATCTAGCAAAGGGGTCCAACATGTTTGCTCAGGCAATCATCTTGCCCTGGGATTTGCTTCTTGATGGGGCAAGTAGAGATACGGTCATGATCGTGGCTCCCTCAGAATATAGTAAGGTTTCTGTAGAAAGCATAGCCAGACATGAGAACCATCTTGTACATAAGAGAAGAAAACCTGAGCAAATTCCAATCAAGGTTTCCAATGGTGGTCTGAATGATGCTCGGAATGGAATAAGTGATTCCTGTAGTTCTTGCAGCAACCCTTGCGTTTGGAATAATCCACTAGAACTGCCTTGTGTAGTTGCCACTAAAGGTGTAAGTTGTTATTGCACGGGTATGCTTTTTTGTGCTAATGAGCTTACTGAGATTGTTTGTGTCTGCAAACTACCAATGAGGAAGGTATTACTGGAATTCGACCCTGATAGCTTTAGCAGATACGAGGTGTGTGATCTTGTTTTTGTCATCTATAAATAGAATATTCTAATGAGTTTCTTTATTCATTAGTTTATATTGTATCTTTCTTCAATTGCAGGTAGCCAAAATTGGTCGTTGTTACCTAGTTTCACATCAAGAGGAAGACATGTTATGTTCTATAAAAGAAAATTATCAAGTCAGCCGTGCTAAAGTTAACGTTAGTTCTGGTACCATTCTCAGAAGTATTTCGTTCTCATCAATCGAAAGTCTCCATAGTTCTCATCTCTCCAATGAATTTCCATGTCCGCCCAATAATGAGGTGGACAGTAAGATTCATTCAGAAATTAGCGTGTTTGTCCCTTCCAGTGCTCTAAATTTACTGGAGAGTTTCACTAAGGCATGGGAGAGGGGTCCTTCTGGGCCAAATTACTCTCTCGAGGAAGTTGACAACCCTGACCTCGTTCAGCCTGTGATAGATGCATCCATGCAGTCTTTAAGCATTTCACGTTCTAATTGCAATTTGCCCGAAGGAAACCTAATAACTTTACACGGTCCTGTAGTTGCTTTGCATGAATGTAATGATGATGCTTTTCCTGCACATTCTAAGCCTATCATAGCTGGTGAAGGTTATTTACCGATGTTTCACAATGGGAATGGTGGTGGTGTATGTGTGCATGTTTTGGTGGACAGTCGAATGGTAGTTTCTTCTTGTACCGAACTGTTTTGCTTAATACTGATTAATTTTCTGTCTTACTTTATTCATTTATTTTTTTCAGGCCAGAATCATCTGTGATGTAGGTAAACAAACTTTCCCTGTTGGCTTAGGCAGGGATACTTATGCAACCTTTCACCGGATCCTCGTAGTAAGGTATGTGATCTCCCACTATGTTTGTATCATTATCGTTGGTTCGTATGCCTTGGTTTTTACGGTTACACCATAAATGGGTTTTGTTGCAATAAGGATCGTATGCATTCAAATGCCTTATGTTTACTCGGAAAGTATCATATTCTTTGTTGAAGTTAATTTTGAAAAATATGAAGAGAGAAAATGATATCTATGTGTACTGCAAGTGCAAAGGAATCTCGATAAGGGTATATACTATTAGATCTGGTGGGGAATTCCATTTTGGATCATTTATAAAAATGGGGAGTGATTGGCCAAACTCCCTGGTCCCTGGTCAACGCAAGCCTATTTGATCTAAAAAATTCCAACCTGGAAATTGGATCTAACATAGAAAACCCTCAATCTCCAACCCCTTTACTAGGTTGGCAAAGCTTTGATGCCTACTCCCAACAATTTGTGGGTTGAGATCGTAGATCTCGCTCGAGAAGTAAGTAAACTGGTCACACGGATCGATCTTAGGTCAGGGTTTGGCCGGACTGAGGGTTACCTGTGATTTGTAGTGGCACAACCATAAGAGTAGGGGAGAAGGGGCTTTCTTTTCTAGGCAAATGGATTACAACAATGTTACAATTGTGTCGTATACAAAAATGATCTTACCATAAAAAAAAAAAAACATTTTAATCTATCTAAATCAAGAGAAAGATACAATAAAATTTCCGACACTCCCCTTCACGTTGGAACATATGTCGGTCAATTCCAGCTTGCCTCATAATTTAGAATACCGCAATCCTCCTAACCATTTAGTTAATATATCACTATATCAGAAACTTGATTGGGACGATATGAAATGAGTTGAAATCTTCTGACTTTACACACTCTTGAATGAAGTGATAGTCAACCTCAATATGCTTTGTTCTCTTGTGAAAAAATGGTTTACTCCAATTTGAATAGTTGCTTGGTTATCACAATTCATTGGTAGTGGTTCAGTGGTGAACCCCAGTTCTTCGAATAGATTTTTCAATTGTAAGATCTCAGTTACTTCGTGTGCCAGGGCTTTATGCTCAGCCTTAACAGTGATCTAGCAAGTTACAATATTTCCTCTGACATAAGTACAATAACCTGAAATGGAGCGTTTGATATTCGTCATTCCAACAGAATAATCATTTGAATAGGCTTCAATTTCCAAATGCCAATTTTTCTTGAACCATAGTCCTTTTCCCTGAGATTTCTTCACATATCTCAAAATCCTGATCGGCATTCCAGTGAACTTGCTTCAGTTTGTCCATAAAAGAACTAACTTTCCAATTGCAAACTAGTACGAATCCGTTTGATGCACAAATATATAATATTAAATGGTACTTAATTAAAAAATATAGGATTAACATGTAATATGATTTACCATACATTATTAATTTGTTGGAAATTAACCAATGCTAACCATTTTTAGTTAATTGAAGCTAATTGAAAGTTAATTTGTCCAAAAACTTGTAAAACATGCCTATCTAAAATATTAAAAGTACCTAAAATGTTAAATATTATGTGTGCAAATACTTATATATTCTATATTATTTATGGGAAATCACCATAAACTATTCTTGAAAAACATGTCTAAAAACATCTAAATTATTCTATGCTATGCTTGAATCACCGTCTACCTACATAAAATATAATAAATAAGACATGCATTTCAAATATCACATTATTTTTATTATATAATAGAATGTAATAAGATTGTTTATATACAAGTCATGAAATAAATATTTATAATTTACTTGACCACATCTTTATCAATGGATAATTAATATGAATCAAGACGTCAAATTAAATTTGAATTCAAAAAAATTAAGCATGTACTTTATTTGATCTGAAGGGTATTTATTTTTATTTGATTAAAAATGTACTTTTTCATGATATTTACGAAATATATGAATTTTGAATAAAATCTAATAAAATCAAGATACTTGATAACATGGAATTTTTATTAAAAATTGTTGTAAATGTACTATGGTTTAAGGTTGGTAGGATTTTTGACAGATTCTTGATAAGATGATTATTTAAAAAATATTTACATATAATGATAGGATTTTTTGATAGATTTAGGTGAGTTTTGAATGAGGTTGAGTATTGAATGAGGTATAATTTAAATTAGTGTTTGATAAGATATAAGTCAATAAGGTATAAAGTTCCAAATTTTCAAACATTCCATCAAATAAGAAAATAAATCTATCTTATTAACAACCAGAAAGATTATTATTACGTGTGATTGATTTAATTAATTAAATTTCAAACTCTTTGTATTCTATTTCGTTTTTGAATTATTTGTTTTGGAAGTTAATTCCCTCTACGCTATTACAATTATATTAAGTAATAATCTCATTTGTATCCAAATAATTTAAGTTAAGATTTGAATATTCTATAGATTGGGTGGTAGATACTTTGAGGAAAATTAAGTTTTATCTCATTCATTGTCCTAAGAATAAGAATGAAGTTTTGAAAATGCAAAAGATATACGTATGGTTGGTAATCTTTTGTATTTTTAAAAATGTATGTGTTTGTACTCCACATGCATGTAATTATTTGACAAATGATTGAACCTTGATTATTAACCGCTTGAATGTTGCCAAAAGGGTATATAAAGTGTAGTTTGATAACAAAGTAGAGTTTATACTCACTTAAGGATAATTTTGAGTTTATTTGACACCTACATAGTTGAAGAGATCTAAATTATTAATTGTTAGTTGGAAGAACTAATTTAGAAAGTGTCAAGTAGACACTATAAATTATTCCTCCTTGGCAATTATTATTATTATTATTATTATTATGGTTATTATTATTATTATTAATTTATTATTATTATTATTATTATTATTATTATTATTATTATTATTATTATTGCCTTTTAAAATGGCATCTTATAAGGATATGGTTGAATAATATTATCAACTAGGCTGCTTAACTGCATGTTAAGGATGGTATTGAATACCACTAAAATTTTATTATAATAATATTATTTTACCATTTGAAACTATTATATAATGAATTTCTTATTAAACACATAAGAATGAATTTAGGGTAGCAAATTCATGACTCCATTAAATAAGGTATAGTGGTATACTAAGGTATTAACATTAAGGATTTTATGAGCCTACTGCTCATATAAGTGTTATTATAGATATTATTATTTCAGTGGGAGTTGGTGTTTAATGTTTCTTAAACTTTGTCACTTCACTTTTCTGCAGAATATTGATGGTTCCGATTCATTATGAATCACTAAAGTTTGTCATTTTTTGTGACTTTGTGTTGCATATATGGATTAATCTCGCTAAGGATTTTAAGCCATACCAGTTGGAAATAAACATTGTCAACATAACATTGCATGTAATTTTCATGCTACTCATCATATTTGATACATGTCATTGAGTATATTAGTACGGTGATTATTGGGGTTTAACCACAATTTGTAATATGGTGAAAGCCACGGTAGTTCCAGTGCTAGTGTATGAGATGGACCAAATTGTTTAAGGTAGTCTGAAGATGAATAGCATAAAGTTGCATAACTAAGGAAATAATATATTTGCTCAAGAAAATGTTAATGTCCTAGAACTTAAAGCATCTTGTAGGATAATTGTTTATTGAATTTATATTATGTGACTCATAAATTCCTACAACGATGTGTTATTGTGACTAGTAATTATTCAAATGTCTCATGATCTTTACTGGAAACATTTTCATTCCCAGTGGGCAGGACAAGTATATGATGACTCCTGTATCTTTCATCACAATCAACAACACATCCTTGATGAATAAAATACTAGCTGACGAGGAATATGATGCCTGTACACCTGCTGTAGGCTTAACTGGTAGAACTATTCCGGAAGTCATTCCCATATCACTAATCTGTGATGCATTCCAATTGTTAGAGCCTAAAGCGATGCAATTTCATTGCAGGGTAAAATCTTTTGCAAATTCCTCGAGTGTATACCTTGTATTCCACCTTAATCCTCTTTCTTATGTTGCTGTGTTTCATTTCAGTGACGGTCATTTCCAATTATGAAGTAAGTAGTTTCCTTTTATGGACTTTTGGTTTGACGAAAATTGACAACAGGTTGTAGCTGTTTATACACTTCTAGTGGAGAAAGCTGGAACAAGTGCAGTTTCTCAATCAAGTGCAACCTCTGAACAATCTGCTTTGGGGATACCATTTGCTGGTTTTGTCATAGGTACTTGTTCTGTCCCGATATGTTGTGTTTTAAATTTTAGAGTATACAAAGTTTATGAAACCCCGACAATTTAATAATTGGAGCATTTAAATACATCCACAATACAATTCACTATATAATGTAATAAAATTAAAAGCATTAACAACCATCCCTTTTTTAGTTTCTTTTCTTTTTTTTTTTTGGAATTTTTCAGTGCTAAATATCATTTTATTTTCAGAAAGAGCGTGGATTAAGAATTTATCATTAAATCCTTCCAGGCTGCAATATTTAGATTTACATCATGATGCCATTATAAATAATATTTCACGTGAAGCTTTTCATGAAGTTGTGTCTTTTCTCCATTTTTCCTTTCTGAATGTTTAGATGATGGGTCATCCTGCTGCTGCTGTTGGGCTGACTCTGAGAGGGCTGCAATGTTACTTGGGTTGGAGCCCAAAGAGCATTTACTTCAAGATTCAGCAGAAACTTTGGGGGTATCCAAATCTGGCACGGGCTCACAATGCAGCTCCACTATAAACCAACTCAACCAGATGTTAGAGAAGCATGGCAGAATTGTGGTGAAAAATTATGGGTCCTTGTTTGATTCTTCGTGCCAAGACCTTTCATTTTCTGTTGGTTCGGATGGATTAATTGGTAGCTCGGATGAAGACCTTCTTAGAAGCTTGATTGCTGATGCTATTTCCAGTGTGTCTTGGGTAAGCTAGTAGCAGGCATAATCTGATCTGGGCACAAACTCTGAATAGTAACAACTCTGATTTTGACAGATGAATTTTATTTTTCTTTTTCCTTTTTTTTCTCTCAATTAAAGACATGATATTAAAATTTCAACCAGATAAAGAGACCATTTTGATTTGAGATAAGCTATAAATCATCCCTTGTGATTAAACCTAATCAGGGTAGTATCTTTTAGAATTTACAAGTAAACACTCAGTTTAATACAAAATCTCATTGAGATTTGTAGTTACTTTACAGAGTCTCTCCTCTTGAGGTTACAGTTATGTGTTTACGAGAACCAAGTACAATAGGGAATGACACGGATAAAATTGGAGTTATTTTACGTCATTATGTGTCAAATGTGATGCTATTATCAGACACAGTGATGCTGTTACATACATATGATATTGCCACTGTCACTATTAACAGCATTAACGCATTGTACGTGACTGAAAATTGCATTACATATCTTATTGTAACATTGTATATGGCTTTTCTTTGGATATTTGAAGATTGTGGATTTTCCTACTTTGAACCTTACTTGTGATGGTAGTTGTTCGTGGTGTGTGGTAGTTGCTTCTTCAGATATCAGCTAGGCACTGCCATATATAGTGAGGTGCTGTGCTTTGATAAAACTTGAGGCCTTTTACTCCTTGGCCTGTTCTATTGGTTCATGAATACCATTTATTTTAAAACACTTCTGCGTTTTTCTTTCACTGTCCTTTTCCCACTCGATGACTTTACAGATTTGGCTATTTTCCTTTAATTACTTTTATATTATTATTTTTTTTTTTTCAGACTATTGATGGCAACCTCATGGATGCAAAACTTTGTAGCTGGTTGCAAGAGCACTTAACTAAAGTGGATATGGCGGTTCCAACACTGTTGAATATATGGGCGAGAAATGTTGGTCACACGGACGTGCTTGAAGAAGCTAGGAACATCATTCGAGGGTTCAAACTATGATTGAGCTTCATATGTGGTTGCGCGTGAATTTCTAAGATTATGGTTTCTTTACATGGTTTAGGTGAGGTTTCATTCATGCTTTTGCGGTTTTATGTAATTTATTATTGCAACTTCTTTGCCAATGACACGAGATTATCTATCGATTACTTAGTGGTATATTTTTTGGGTGCAAATCTTTGATAGCTGTGATTTAGACATAATCATCTACGTTGTAGTTCTCCAACGTTGTTTGGAGGTTGATTAGAATCGTGGATCCAGTGCAATTCAATTCAAGTGTCGTTTAAATTCATAATGTAAAATCCCCATTGAAGTTTTAACAAGTCGACTTTGCAATACAAAATTCGAAGATTAACATCATTTCATTAACTAGCAACTCTTCATATCCTTAATTCCTGAAGAGAACCTCTTTTACAGTCTGATTCAGAAAACATTTATTACTAATTTTTGTGAGGTGGTTTCATTTTGAGAAGATGGGAAACACCTGCTATCACATGGAGTCTGCTGCTTGGAACACCCGTCTTTGCAAGTGCGTTCCCGTTTTTATCGAGCAACACGAAGCACGGGACGTACTTGATGTCGTAATGGAGGAGCTGCATTTGCCGAATAAAAAAAAATTAATTGAAGTTAAAAAAAAAGGGAAAAAAGGTATGAACGAAGCTCATGTAATATGAACAGTAATGAGATCCCATCAAATGCTCATGTAGGGTTAAATTTTGCCCATTTAATCACTGTCAAGAATCCAAAAGGAAGGGAAATAAATGGAGAAAATCACAGAAAGGGAAAACAATATTTTTGGAATTAGATCAACCTATAGAAGAACCACACAAATAATAAAGGGAGGAAAAAGAAAAAAAAAAGTAAATTACCTCAGGCAACCATTTATCATTCTCTGCATCAGCCATAATGATGTTGAGCCAATCGGAGTTCCTCTTTTCAACCTCCACCACAAAACCCAGCAAAGAAT